GAACTGACGTCAGGCCTAGCAACCGTCTAGCAACGGAACACGCAGGGGATACGGCGCGGGCCTGCCCACCATTACCTACTCTAGGCCAACGCGCGCGCGTGCAGGGCCGCATGATATCCTGCGTACGGACCCTTATATTGAGGTTCTCCGGTGAGAAAATGGTCGGTTGTTTTGCAGTTGGATGTTCCAATAGCAGCCGTCACGGTTTCCCTTTCCTTTTATAATTCTAAATGAAAAAAAAGAAAGAAACGTAGCAAAATATGGTTGAATAAAATCAAGTGCGGCAATAAACCGATCTCACTAAGCATTCGGCGCACGCGTGACGCCGCCATAACTTTGGTTTACGGGAGACAGACGGCTGTGCAAACGAGGGCTCGTGCCGTCTCGTGCTCTCCGAGCGCAGAGCTCCAGGGAAGTTCCCGCACGCGCAGAAGACTAAAGTTCCCTCGATGCATTGCGGCAAGAGTGGCGTAGTCAAAATTGGCTGGTGAGATCGGTCTGGACGCCTACGGAAAGCTCCCGTCCTTGTGAGGTTGGAATGCTTGTTTCATCTTGAAACTTTTTATAAAATGTAGCGACGAAAACTAAGGAACTAGTTGCTACACAAAGCTCGCATATAATGTGTAAGGTGAATAGCTGCAGCACAAGACAGGGACGTCCCATCTGTGAAGCGTTTTCCCCTGCCTTCTTCAAACCGATAATCGAATGCACTTATTATTTCATGCCTCCTAATATTTTTTTTATAAAAAAAGCTAGTTTTTCTGTTTTTCTATTATTTTTTATGAAATGACATGACGATGCATTCTGTGATCTAAACGCTGTTAGGAACAATCAATTGAGTTAAATCTATTGAAGCGAGCAAGCTTACCATTCGCGAAGAACCTCCTGACGCTGCGTCGCTCGATGTTTATTTTGTAACCTTCCGTTATGAAATGGAAGGCTCAAACATTACGACAAATGTCAGTGCCGGCGCCGTTTTTAATGCAAGCAAACTCGCACAACCTTCATTTATTTTGTTTCTTTTTTTGTAACCTTCCGCCTTCCTAGACCTAGTCTGAAGAACAAGATCGCTGTTTCGTTGCTGAGAGAGTTCGGTGGAGGCAGGCGGTATATCATGCACGGCTTGGCCATCCCATCTCAGAAGTAGCGATCGCTTCGATCACGTCATCTCGTCTGACATGCTGACTCATAGAAAAGAGGAAATGCAATTAATACAAAAACGAAACTCAGGGAAACTTTACAATTTAACAAATAATATTCTTCGAAAACACAGGTAACCATGGCATTCTCCTATACGCTCGCCTATCAGAACACTCTACGGAAAGCCCCTCAGCTGGGAAAAAGAAGTTTTTATCCTTGCGCACTGCTAAAATAAGAAGAGACGTCAACAAGAACTGAAAATTGCGAAATTTACGCGAGCGTAATCTCCGCAACGCACCAAACGTCCGCGAAGCGTTTGATGACGCGGCGCTTACGGAGGGAGAATAGACAAGGTGACCGGGGAACTAACTTAATATGGCTCCTGAGTAGACACGACACAGCCTAAATACTGCTAGCGGATGACTTAAAACACAATAAATCAGTCAGGCAGACACCGAGAGCCAAGCATACGGGCATAGGTTCCTGGCGTCGGTTGGGCTCGAAGACGGCGAAGTGGTCTAAACATTGCGTTCGCGTGGCGTGTCAGTGACGTAGTTGACGAGCTGCCAACGATGCCATGCCAGCTGGCCAGACTCTCCCCTATGTATGGCTCTGTCAGCGACGATGACTTAATGGGCAGGCCTTCTTCTTCCGGGGGTATTGCCGGGACCCTCAACGTTACTGACAATACTTCCCAAGAGGCGAGCTCCGGTGAAAGTTCGATAGTCAATGATTTGCCTAAAAATCTAATCAACACAAAAAAAAAAATATATATATATATATATATATATATATAATTAGACATACCTAATAGAATCATTAATTCAAAATTACAAGTCGCAATTTTTTTTTCACGAAGTTTTTGAAGTTTTAATTTTGGTCTGAGAGGCTGAGAACCTTACTGGTAAAACTGAAAGCGTGACGTCGGATGTATAATGGGGCAATACGGAAACAGTATGTAGTTAGTTCCCGGAGGTTACAAGAAGTTTCGTGGCTTGAATGATTTTATGATTTTATTCCGATGGATCCAATAGTTATTGACTGGGCAGGCGTAATGAAATTAATTCAAAATATGAAGCTTTCCTCTTCTCCAGGTGATGATGGCATTAACCCCAAATTTTTGAAGAACACCGAAGTGTATTCATCTATAATATTGTCGAAGATTTTTGCACAATCATTAGAATCCTGTACGCTCCCGAACGACTGGAAGGTGGGAAAGGTGGTTCCTCTGCACAAATCAGGTAACACTCATTGTCCCAATAATTATAGACCCATTTCATTAACCAGTATACCGTGCAAACTCATGGAACATGTCATATACTGTCATATGGTGTCCTTCCTCGAAACTAATTATTTTTTTAGTATGCATCAACACGGCTTCAGAAAAAATTACTCATGTGAAACTCAACTACTCGCCTTTACTAACGACTTATTCTCTGCTGCAGATCACTTAATCACTGTTGACTGCATTTTCATCGACTTCTCTAAAGCATTCGATAGTGTCTGTCATAGTCTGCTCCTGTATAAATTAAGTAAACTTAACATGGACCCTAATATTTTTAAATGGATAGAATGCTTCTTGTCTAATCGCACGCAATATGTAACCGCCAATGACCATAACTCCCCTCACTGTCCTGTAACGTCCGGTGTCCCGCAGGGGTCAGTGCTAGGGCCCTTGCTTTTTCTTATTTATATTAACGACTTACCTAGCTGCATTTCTTCATCTATAAAACTTTTTGCTGACGACTGTGTTGTTTATCGCAAAATTCTGGAACCTGCTGATCATCATGCTCTTCAGTCTGACCTCGATAACATTTCATTTTGGTGTGACACCTGGCTAATGAAACTTAACCCTGCTAAATGTAAGTCAATGAGAATTGCACGTCATTCAAATTACATCCTACCATGTGACTACTTACTTAACCGTGTTCGCCTAACGCAAGTTTCGTCCTTCAAATATCTTGGCATTATCATTTCTGCTAACCTTTCATGGCAAGATCACGTCAACTACATCACTAGTAATGCTAATCGCGCACTTGGTTATCTACGGCGTAATTTTTCTTTAGCCCCAACTAACTTGAAACTCATACTTTATAAAACTTTAGTGAGGTCAAAGCTTGAATATGCATCATCAATCTGGGACTCTCATATTAACTCCATTATTCTTCAAATAGAAGCCATTCAAAACCGTTCCGCGCGTTTCATCTTCTCAAATTACTTTCGAACTGCCAGTGTCACTTCCATGAAATCTAATCTTAACTTACCCGATCTTTCATTGCGTCGTAAACTATCTCGTCTTTGTCTCTTTCACAAGGTTTATCATTTCAATTCTCTACTCAGTGACTCTCTCTTTCTGCCACCATCGTACATTTCTTCCCGCAGCGACCATCAGTTCAAGGTTGGCGTCCCAAGCAGCCGCACCAATTTGCACTTCCACTCGTTCATTCCCAAAACCTGCACAGACTGGAACCACCTCCCCGCCTCCATCGCTTCAATCACCGACAGCGACCGTTTCAAAAGCGCCATTTGCAACCATTTTTTGTAATCTCCCTGCTGTGTTTATGCTCATGTTGTATTATTATTATTTTTTTTTTGCTTCACCACTCCTCTCTGTAATGCTTCGGCCTTGAGAGTAAATAAATGAAATGAAATGAAATGAATATCAACGCCGAATTATGCCAGCAAAACTAAAAAAAGAAAAACTTGCGCGAAATTTTTGCGTTTTTTTTGTTTGTTTAGGTCGTCTACTTGACTTGCAAGTTACACCATATGTTACGTCACGCCACTGAAGAGCGCGGGAACATTGCAATGTTGGTTTTGGCATCACTAATCATTTGCCGTTTTCACAATAGCTAATTTTGAATTTGGAAATAATAAATGTTACGCCGGAAGGAGTAAATCCTGGGTATTCCAAAAGGGTGTTTAGATTGGTAACCGGACAAAAGCTCACCGGACAAAAGCTCACCGGACAGAAGCTCACCGGACAAACGCTCACCGGACAAAAGCTCACCTCTTCTTTTTTTTCGCTACCCGGGCAATACAAGGGCTTGGATAACGTGCGGACGCGATGGTCATTGCACCATTTTTAGAAGTGGTACCCCATCCCATGCAAAGGTGTCGACAAATAAGCCATAACAGGCAGAGAAGCAACTTTTGGGACCACAATTAAGATAACCAAAACTAAGTGGAGCTAAGATCAAGCTTGCTTGGCTCAACTTTCAAGGTATGTCGGAGTACCCTCGTGTACCGCCCAAGAAACTTCGTGAACCGGAGTTTTCGAACCCGAAGAGGTGCACCGACATCTACCAAGACTGCTGGAGCAAGTAGGAAAATGCATTCGCTTCTAACCAATCGATAAATAAACTTGTTCCTACTCTAATCAACAAACCATGCGCCTGTCAGATTAAATTTATCGTTGCATTTTAGTGTCGCAGGCAAGCACCTAAGTTGTCCGCACTCGTCTTAAGACCAACATTAAATTTTCTTCTGGTGAGCTTTTGTCCGGGTCTGTGAAAAAATGGGCGAGCTTTTGTCCGGTGAGCTTCCGTCCGGTGAGCTTTCGTCCGGGATTCGTTTAGATTAAATAGCCAAAAAAAAAAGGAAAGAAAACCGCCGGAGCTCTTTTTTAAGTTTAGTTCACAATAAGAAAAAAAGAGAAAAAATTCGAATAGCGCCGCCAATACCACAGAACGTCACGTCTGTCAGTCTCTCAACCGTGCAGTGTTGCGATTAGAAAAAAGATCAAAGTTAGGTTCCAATTAAAAATACCTTAGGGTTCTCGAAACTTATCCAATGTTCAACTACACACTGTGCAACCGGAAAAAAAAAAAAAAAAAAAAAAAACGAGAAAAAAATTCAAGCATTTTTTTTATTTTATTTGATAGACTCGGGAACGCACCGAATGCGTTGCGAATGAGCTGAGCACGTTCTGTGTTTGTGTTAACATCGTGTGATGTCATGAGGCCACGTGACTTCGTGACGTTACTCTGTGACGTCGCCTGTCCTGACGAGATTATGTGTCTCCGTGTAACTCTGGAGCGTAACGCTGCTACATAACAATTTTATCGTAAAATAAAACTTAAAAAAAAAAACAAAAAAAAAACACACGTTTAGCTTTAGAAAAGAAAAAAAAAAATTGGGATTGGTTTTCTTGTTTGAACACGCTAAAACGCTTCGACTATCCGGGAAGTGTAGTCTACAGTCACACGTTTCCGGTGCAACCGCGAAAGAACGCTGGAAAGGATGTGCCACATTGAGATGTTTGTGTGTTTGCGTGTATGTATGCGCGTGGAGTGTTTGGCGCGTGCGGACTGTGTGGGTACCGATGGGGTGGCGTGCCGGATCTTACAAAACGACGCGGCGGGGTTTGCGCCAACGTAGAACGCGTGGCTCTGTGAGTGAAGGCGACTGGGAAAATTTCTAAAGATTCTCCCAAGACCTTCCCAAAAGACGTTACTCCGGGGGTGGAATGCTCCCGAAGCCGATAGACTGGGGTACAGGTACACGTGCGCTCGTGGCTTGTAAGAAAAAAAAAATACCGGAAAACTTGCGGGACGTTCACGGGACCTCCTCAGGACGTTACTGCCGATAATAATGAGAGTGCGCCTCGTGCGTTTTTTGAGATAACTTTCCCTCGCGGAGGGAAAGCTGCTTTAGCCGCGTGATTTTGGACTACTATTGCGATTTGATTAGAACCCCAGTCTTCTAAAAAATACCATCAACACCTTTATGAATGTGTTAAACTTGGGACGAAAGATACACGTATGTGAGTTGGAGCATCTCTTGTAATGCATCGATATATTTTAAGGAGAGTAAGGGAATGGTTTTCATTCTGTTTCAAGACCGTCGTTGACAAGTTCGAAAACCATCTTTACCTCGACAACTTTTTGACCTTTGTAATGTACGAACCTGGATTCTTGAATATCTTACTTGATTCGTCTATATTTACGAAACGCGCTGACGAGAGATAGCGGGTTTCAATTACAACACATCAAATAGTCCGATGGGGTGTGATGTTGACCGATACTTTTTGATGTTATCGCAACAGCTGCTTCGGAGACGACCTTGAGACATCGATGCAATTAATAGACGCTCATGGACCCTTGTATCTTGTATGATAAGTTTCCATGTCGCTTCTATAAAAAAATAATTGGAGATTGTTTTTGTTAAAAACATTTCCTGTTTTAATAATGTAAATATTTGAGTATCTGGAATATTTATAAAATTATCAAATGGAATGGCCGTGTGCACTGCATGCACAGGGTAAAATGTTTTAACTCAAAGCTGCAATTCGTGCAACAGAGACCCCTGGTCTTTTTCATATATCTTAACTTTTTGCCGATACTCAAAATGTGGGTGCAAGTGTTCGATATTGCCAAAACTGGCTAATAGATGCAGTGCTTGTATTTGGGGCTTTTTAAAGTTCTTGCGGACTGACATAGGGTTCTTCTGAACCATGTTTTTATGATGTATCCTGAGACGTTGTTGAGAAGTGTTCGTGACGGTATCGGGAGTTTTCCGGTATTGTTTTTGGCGGACATTCGTCGGACGTTTCTGATGTGTCCTCAAGAACTGCGACTATGTACATACGCGACTACAAAACAGGCGTTTTTTGTGTGTCCTTTCCTTCGCCTCTGGTTGGTTTTCTGAAGTATATATGCCGTTGCTTCGGATGGAAGCGCTAACATGACGCACATTGGCATAGAAGAAGAGAAAACTTAGAAGGAAAGAAACAGGACAGAGTATAAAAAACGTACTTGGCAACGACGACTGACATGGAATCGGGACGATACAGCATATACACCACTTCGTGCCTACACGCTAGACCTTGTGCTTTGAAACAAAATAACAAGGGAACGAAATCAGAACTAGTGTGTACTGAGAGTTTGCGTTTCGCTTTGCGGTCGAAGCGTTCCTCTGCGTCCGTCTTCTCCAGGTGCGGAAACAGAAAATTGAGTATACTAGTAACACGTTCTTCGCGTCGTTTCGGCTGCGCCAAGCACGAAACGACACCAACAACAACAACAACAAGAGCAATGAAACCGAGTCGAAGGATCCTCGAACTTGCGTTTTCGAGGTCCCGCACGTAATGCCCCCAACGGGAGCCCCGTGCGAGTTGTGAGTCAAGGAGGTGAAGAGAGCAGGCCCCAAGCGGCTAGTCCCTGCGTCGTGACCCAGTGCACATTGTTCGCAAGAGCGGTGCGTCGGCTCTCCAGAGTCAGCGGTTGCGTAGAAAAGGCGGAGGAACGTAGAGGATACCCCGGGCGCGCGTCGGTTGGGCCCCGAACATTGGACCGTTGGATCCTTCAACGGGTGATGTTGCGCAGCAGGCCGGAGGGAACGCCCGGGCCGCGGGAGGGTGCGGCGGCGACGCGGAACTCTGTACGGGGTGGCCGCGCGAGGCACTTGCATCCGCGACCGGTGCCCGTGCGGGAGGTCTGCAAGCGCCTGGAAGACATAGCTCGGCGAGACGGCGGCGGCGCAGGATCACTTGAAGAGGATCTTTCTGAAGGCCTTGCGGAAGTCCCTGTTGAAGATGGTGTAGATGATGGGGTTGACTGCCGAATTGCAGTAGCCGAGCCAGAAGGCCACCGCGAACACCGTGTCACTGATCTGGCAGCGCTTACAGAGGGCACCCAGCACGTACATGAGGAAGAACGGCAGCCAGGCCAGGATGAAGGCGGCCATGATGAGACCGAGGATCATGGTGGCCCGGCGCTCGCGAGCCTTGGCCAGCTTTCGCTTGTGGCGCTCGGCGTCCGACGGGCTGTGCCGCGCGGCCACCGCGTACGTGAGTCCCGTAGGGGGCTGGGGCCTCCGCTTGGAGCCCGGCCTGTTGGGCGGGCGCCCGGGCCCGCTCCCACCCGAGGAGTCGCCCTCGGCGGCGGCGTTGGAAGACTCGCACAGTTCGCTGTCCTCGTCCCTCTCTGCGAGGGACAGCGTGGAGCCGTACGGATAGCGCACGATGCGCGACGGCGCGCTCAGCAAGCCCGGCGCGTCGTCCGGGGCAGATCCCGAACCCGGCGTTTGGTCGGCCTCCCGCTCGCGGTCCTTGCAGGCCGCGGGCGCGAGTCCCTCCAGGCGGCGCAGCGGGGGCGACGTGGGCTCTTCGGGCGTCTCGATGATGATCTGCGGCGCGGCGCTGGGCAAGAGGAGGCCCCTGCGCTGCTGCGCGCCGCCGCCGTTCATCTTGTGCGCCGCCGAGGAGTCCGGCGGGCTCGGGTTGCTGAAGCTGGTGCACGTCGTGGTCGTGGTGGTGGATTTGTCACGCCCGGGGTCGTTGGTGAGCTCCGGGACGTGCCGGGCCTGCTTCTTGACGTGCCTGCGCGCGCGCGAGCGAGCCGCGAGGAATATCCGGATGTACACAAACACCATGACGACGGCTGGGACGTAGAAAGATCCCATGGCCGAGTAGAGGACGTAGCCCACGTCCTCGGACACGGAGCACTGGGGGAACTCGGACGCCTGCTGTGACTTCTTCCAGCCCACGAGCGGCGGCAGCGAAATAAGCGCCGAGAGGAGCCACACGAAGCAGATCATGGCCATGGCGCGCGAGGCGGTCCGCTTCTTGAGGTACTCGACAGCGTGTGTGACCGACCAGTACCGGTCCAGGCTGATGAGGCACAGGTTGTTGATGGACGCCGTGCAGATGAGCACGTCCAGCGCCGCGTGGATGTCGCACCACAGCGAGCCGAAGATCCAGTAGCCCATCAGCTCCTTGGCAAGTGAGAAAGGCATGATGATGAGGCCGATCAGAAAGTCGGACACTGCCAGGGAGGCGATGAACCAGTTCTGGATCGTCTTCAGGGTCTTCTCAGTCGCGATGGCGATACACACCAGCATGTTGCCCACTACGATGAGGATCATGATGCAGGTCACCACGAAGGCGGTCACCACAAAGCTCAGCCTGGAGTAGCGGCTCGGGTAGGGCGACCCGTCCCACGGGTCGTCCTCTTCGGGCCAGCCCTCGGCGGTCCCGTTGCTGCCGTCGACTGACCCGTTGGCCGCTACGCTGTCGAGCCAGCTTAGGTTGGCCGCCGTTCCGTTGCTCATGACCCTTCAGGAACGCGCGGCCCAGGCCGGGGCTCCGCGCCGCTCACGGGCATCGTCCCCGGCCGTGGGCCCGGGTCTCCGAGAACCCTCGATGCCTCGATGATCCTTCGTCGTCGTGCGCTGCTGCCGCCGGGGATGCCGAGTCGTCGTCGACGCTGTAGGCCGCTGCCGCCCGCTGCCGGAGAGGTGCGTCCAGCAGGAAGTCCGGGCCCCGTGCACTTCGCTCTTGGTCGCCGGGATGTCTTCGGGATGACTGCAGGCAGATCCTGCGGGCAAACAGAGCGAGGACGTCACTCCACAAACGTCGGCGCGCTGACACGCATCGTCGCATGCGAGCACAAAAGGGTCGACATCAGAGTACACATGGCATTCGTTTGCATACAACTCGCGATGAAAGCGGCTCGACTATACGAGGACACAACCGAGGCATGATATTCAGCTTGCGGGATTCCGAGAGAGCCCTAAGTAGGAGCCTTTTTGTTTTTACGCACTCTTCGAGAAACATCGTTTTTACTTCGTTACTACGAGATGTATTTTTTTTTATTTTACCTTGCACTCATGACGATTGAGAGCTTCTTTAAAGAGGGCGCACACAAGTAATGATGCCCATTATGTTACACCGAGAGAAATTACAGGGTTTCCAGACGCATTTTTTTTTCTTTCGTCCGTTTCAATGGTTTTAATGGCTAGACAACTTTTACACTCAGGGAATATGTATCATAAGATCGTAATACGGTATATTTTATTTGATACACGCAAAAAATAATTCAATACTTTAAAAAAATAAAAGAAGTAAACATCTATTCAGTATGATCAGCTCATGTGCCATTAAAACATTATAAGAAATATACTGTTACAAATCTGTTCTTGCGCCTAGTCTCATGCACCTTGTCCTCGAGATCCAACGTTCATCACAGGCCAGTTAGAATGCCTACGCTATTTTGAGCATGCCCCAAAGCAAAGAGCAAACACTTCAAACTAGCCACCAACAACACATTCAAGCAAAAACACGAGCAAAAAACGAAGCCTGAAAGTTAGAGCTACGCCTTTCCTTTAAAGCGAAGATTTATTCCCAAGACGCCAAGATGCAGAGTCGCGTCTGAAAAGAAAAGGCTCTACCTAAAGACAAGAAAAATGTCGGCAAGTCTGCGAGAAACAGACCCCCCCCCCCCCTCCCCCAACCCCCCTCCCCTCAAAAAATAAGAAATAACAGCTTTTACCACATCGATAAGCGGAGTGTGCAGGCCGAACATGTTAAATGTTCACTTTGGCTGGCGCGAGCGCTCGCTTCAACGTTAGTTTTTCAAGATTGGCAGAAAAAAAGAAAGCGCCAGGGTCTCTGGTGTGTAGCCCCGAGGCAGCTATTGTTCAGCGTCTCCTCAAGCGTTTCCCCGCGCGTTGGCACCTCGGGGGCCAACCGCTGTCAAGACGCAGTGTACGCCTGGTTCGGTTCCATTGGAGCCGACAGGGCCCGACCCAATTCATCACGATCCCGAACAAGAGCTGGCAGCAAGCTCTTGCTCCGAAGGAATCGACCAGGGTCCTTCGCCCCTGGGCGTCTGTGGGATGCGGTGGGAAGGGACGGAACGCGATAAGAAAGTCTCCAAGTGTATGTGTGAGAGACTGTGTGTAGATTTGTCCACTTGTGTATGTGTGCGGGTTTGTCTGTGCGTATGCGTTTCTGTGCTTCTTTGCGTGTATGTGAGCCTGCTTGTGTGTGCGCGCGTGTCTGTGTGCAGGTGTGTGTGTGTGTTCCTGTGCATGCACGTGTGTGCTTGTGCGTGTGTCTTTGGCTGAATATGTCTATGTGTGTGCGCGTGTCTGTCCTTTGTGCATGTGCCCGTGTGGGTGTGTGCGCGCGCAGATCTGCGTGTGTGAGCACGCGTTTGTGCATGTGTGTGTGTGTAAGCATAGTATGTAAAGTCGCCCAATTTTTTCATAATATCACGCGAGCGTCGACCGCCTGGACGGCCAGCGCTGTGCCGCGGAGAAATGCGGGGTCACGGGAGAGATTAGGCGCGTGCGCACAAAGCTCTCTCCGGTGCGAGCGTTGTCTGCTAGGCTATTCTGTTGACCGCACACAGCCCCAGCCCCTGTTCCTTATCTACTGGCATAGCTGACCGCCTTAAAGCAAAGATATGAACAGCGCTTGTTTGCGTGATACCGTGATACTGCTCAGGCGTGAAAGAAACTGCGCGTCATCTCGTTTAATTTTTTTTTATTCTTTTATTTTTTGTTTGCGTTTACTTTGTCAGAACCAAAAAAAGAACAATACGATGACGTGACAAGCTGAATGCAACGATGCATTAAACTATATAGACGCTTTCAGGCAGCTGGGCATGGGCGCCGCCATAACTGACCTTCAGTTTTTGTTCCCTCTTATTTCGTTTGCTCTACTTCATCATTACCACAGCAGGACAGGTTATTGCAATTCTAAGTGTTACTGTGTCCTTCTCCCTATGCATAGGCCCTTGTGGAGACTCGTCAACGCCCGTTTCAGTGGCTCGGCATCTCGATAAGACAAGAGAAGGTCAGCAATGGCGTCTCAATCTGGCGCGCGCTGAAAGCGTCTATACTACAGCCAATGCTACAAGCCATCAAAATCAAGCCAGCGCTGTCGCCCTGCCACGTGACATCGTGCTTCCACGTGCAGTTGTGCCCAACAGGAAAGCCATGTGAAACATTTTAGCGATGGACTGGCCAAAATGGCTCGTAGAGTCGGCTGCGGTACAACACAAAGTGAAACTGAGTATAAACAAAGTTTCCGCTTGCTGTATTTTTTTTTTATGAACTGCGTTGTTGCTGTTGTTATCTAGCCTATGTAGCCTAGTAATCACACTTCTCTTTGACCCGCGGGCGCGCGCACATTATTATGCCTCCTCGAGTGCCCACAGAAACACGGGGACGTGTTGTAAGAATTTCGATGCGCGACATGACGCAAAGGGATATAGCAACAACAGTCGGGGTTACACAGACTAACGTCAATAGGATTGTGAACGCATTCCAAGAGGAGGAGGAAACTTTATTATTCTTCCGGGATCAGGTATTGGGGGTGGCGGAGGCCCAGAGGGCCGCCGCGATCGCCAGGGCCCGGGAGGTGGTCAGGACTTGGGCTGACTCCTCCGGGTTGCGCAACATCTGCTCCCAGAGGTGAGGGGAGGGAAGAGGGGGGTATGGGTCTGCGGGGCATTCGCAAAGGGAATGGTAATGAGTGTCGAATGCCCCGCAGGCAGGACAGGCGGGTCTGGTAAAGAGGTGTGGGTGAGTGTGTATTAGTTGTGTTCGGTGGGGGAAAGTGTGTGTTTGTAAGAGGCGCAGCATGTGTGCTGCCTCTTGGGAGAGGTGGGGGTGCGGAGGTGGGTATTGGCGGCGGAGGAGGCGGTAGTGTAGGGTAATATCCCTGTATTGCAGGAGGGAGGTAGGCTTGCCTGCAGGGACATCGCGTGTAGGCGCAGTTGAAATGGCGGCTCGGTCGATAAGTTCGCGAGCACGATCGTGCACCATCTCATTAGCGCCTACGCCTGTGTGGGCTGGTGTCCACAGCAGGGTCACGGTGTCGAATGGAGGGTTGTTGGTGAGAATTTGGAAGGCCATGGGGGAGATATTGCCGCGAATAAAATTGCGGATGGCCTGCTGAGAATCAGATAGGACGAATTGGGGGGTGGGGCTCTGGGCGAGCGCAAGGGCAATGGCCGCTTCCTCCGCCGTGGTTGTGTTTGTAGTGAGGATGGTGGCCGCCGTGACGTTTGGTGGTGGATGTTGGCCGAGAACAGCTACACAGTGTGCAGGTTTGTGAGGGTAGGGTGTGGCATCAGTGTATAGTGTGCATGGTGATGGTGGGTATAGTTTGGCGTGGATGTTGGCTCGTGCTAGTCGCCGGGCTTTATGGAAAGTTGGGTGCATGTGGCGAGGGATTGGGTGGACTCGAATGCGGTTACGTATGCGCGGTGGAATGGGGAGTGGGGGGATTGGGATGGTGGGGGGGAGTATGTTTATAGTGTTAAGAATGTAGTGCCCTGTGGGTGAGGATGCGAGGCGGGTGAGTTGGGACATGTGGTGGGCGTCTAGGTGTTCGCGTATTGTGTTGTGTATGCCGAGGTCGAGCAGGCGGTGCGTTGGGGCGTGAGGGGGGAGTAGGAGAGCATGTCTATATGTCTTCCTGAGGAGCGCATCAAGGGAGTCGAGTTGGGTGGGTGTAAGGTTAAGGTAGGGTAGCTGATATAGGATACGGTTGAGTAGAAAACTGTGGACGAGTCGGAGGCGGTCCTGTTCCTTGATGCCGTGGTGTTTAGTGGCGATCCTTCTAATGAGGTGTGAGGTTTGGGTAACATATTTCTTTACGTATTGGAGGGTGGGTGCGGGTGATCTGTTGTGTGTGAGGGTGAGGCCTAAAAGTCGAACTCGTTGTGTGTGTGGTATTGGGTCAGAGTGTATAAAAAGTTGGATGGGGTTTTTTTGGAGGGGTTTGTGACGAGGCGGCGTAAAGGTAAGAAGAGCGGATTTGTGTGGGGAGCATTGGAGCTCCAAAGGTTCGATGTGATGTAGGACTTGGTTGAGGCTATGTTGAAGTGTTGCTTCAATGTGTTGGTCGGAGCCAGAGTGGACCCAAAGGGCAATGTTATCTGCGTACAGTGTGCTGCGTAGTGTGGGGATAGTGAGGAGAGTACGGGCAAGTGGGATTAGGGTGAGGTTAAAGAGCATGGGCGAGAGGACCGCTCCTTGTGGCGTTCCGCGGTCTGGCATGTGGAAAGAATCAGACTGGACATGGCCGAAACGGATGGTAGCGGTACGTTTTGCGAGAAAGTTATAGATATAGTGGTAGAAGTGTAGGCCTAGGTTTTGGGATGAGATTGCCTGAAGGATGCTATGGTGTGAGATATTGTCAAAGGCTTTTTGGAGGTCTAATGAGAGTATAGAGGTGTGATCTCGTTGCGGGGGGTGTTGGTGGAAATCATGATGGTACTGTATAAGGGCGTCTTGCGTGGATAAGTTTGGTCGAAAGCCGATCATATTAGGTGGGTAGGTTTGTGTGTATTCAAGGTGCGCATTGACGCGATTCTGCAGGACGTGTTCGAGAAGTTTGCCGAGACAGGAGGTGAGTGAGATGGGGCGAAGGTTGTGTATGGAGGGTGTTTTTCCAGGTTTGGGGATAAGGGTGATGTCAGAGTGTTTCCAGGTGGAGGGAAGGGTGTGGTTAAGCCAATGTTGGTTGAAGAGCTGTACAAGGTGTTCTAGGACCTCCTCATTGAGGTGAC